CTACGATTAGACGCTCGCAGCATATATGGGACGGATCGTGGAAGACGGCTCATTACCTTTCGCTGTCACCAACGATTCCGTCCCAGCCTTCCCTCGAGTGCTTGATTACCCTGCCGCCCAACCTGTTCAACACTATTTGGGGAAGGAACAAGATCGCACCAAGCTCTCCATTTTGAATAATCCTGGATACCCGCTATAGCTACATAGCCGAGAAGTTGTAGCAGCTGACGAGCCTATTCTGGCCTAAAATGTATCTGCCCTACCAAACATACAGCAAATACGCGACAAAGGCACTTCACATACAGGAAACCTTAAATTGAAATGCTGAGGGAAATGGAAAGATTCCTAATGTATTTCACCGTAGGGAAAACCCTGAACACAGCGATGTGAGTTGTGGAAATTCATTCCTGATAGAATCGAGCGACTGAGTTAATCATGATCATAAGAGCAGGATGAGACGACGGACTTCGAGTCACGAAGAAGTCCGATGGCATGAAGTTGGTGGTAACCACCGAATGAAGAACGACATACAGCCTGGAATGTTGTGCGCACAGGAGGAAGGAATCTTGTCCTGCATATTTATCTGATAATTCCTGGCGAACAGACAGCGATTCACCTGTTGACGCCCACTGTGCACCTTGATTGGTAAAAGAAATAGGTGAAAAATAATATGATTCAAACGAGGCTGAGATCCGGGGCTTTCGCTCGTCCAATGAAATCGAGAATGGGACCAGTGGTAAAATTCGAGCATGGAGGGAGGTTGAACGAAAAAGTGATCATGAAGGGAAGATCGGGTGAGAGAGAGATAAAAGGAGATAATGTAGACTCAGCGTAGTATATTGCACATGCTTCATCGTATTCCATCAAGGTGTCAAACTAGGCCCCACTGTGTGGACTGTACACCTTGCTTGAGCTTGTGATCAAAAATGCGGCGCGCATAGGGCGCGCCGCGAGGTGAGGTGTCCAATTAAAGCAAGATGATTGAAGTGGTTTGGCTGATAACGCTGAAACCAAACATAGCAAAAATGTGCCTGCACATCAAGAGGTCAAATACCGAGTGGAATAGACCTTGCCAGCAAGGTGATTGCTTGCGAGAACAACAATACGGCAACAGCGTTGAGAAATAGGCCCACATAAGGGTGGTGAAGTTATCGTGGTCGTGGTACGAAACCAAAGTAACCTCGGCCCGGTTTGTTTTACCAACAATGCTCAAGCGCTCAACATACCCTCGATTCCTCGGCACTCAACCATCAAGTTTGCTCCATGGATTCTCTCGCGAAGCAGGAGGTCTTCATGAAATTCCCGGACATTGAGAAGCTCGCGGTCGCGTCCAGCTTCCTTCATGCCTATCTCGCTCCCGAAGTACGCGAGAAACTGTCGGTGGAAATCTGCGCTACGATTTTGTCGGCAGACCCTACGTTCCACGAGAAGCTTAAGGAGGCACATAGATCGCAGAATTCGGAAGAGCTTGAAAACCTTTGCAGTGCGTCTTCTGATTACTTCTGTACGACAAGATATTTACGTGTAACTAACAGTTTATCTCAAACAAAATGCATGGCGCTTTCATCCTCACTTACAAGAGATGAACCGACTGATTCGCACAATATACTCCGATGGAAGGATAGCGCCAATAGCTAGAGGTGAATGGAAACGACCTTCCTGGATGTCTAAGAGTAACGATGCACATATGGAAATCACGGCTCACATGGAAAGCCTAGATATTCCAGTAGGAACACAGAACGTGGCAGTGCCTTTGATTGTTCTCTATGAGTTAGGTAGCTTTCAACACCATGCCAAACTCAGGGGAAGGTTGGACCGGATTTTCTCTTCTTCCAACCACACGTACGAGGCTAGTTGTTCTCCGTGAAAAAATCGAGCCACTGACTCCACGATTCGTAGGTTTCTTGTGAACACTTTCGGTACAGGAAAGACCAGGCTTCTCTTAGAGGGCCTGTGTTTCCATTGGGGATTCTATTTGACATGCGCCATCGATGCTTCTTCCCTTGGAGCGGCCGATTTTCCTTCTGTTTTGAATGACGTAAACTGGGACCATAGCTGGACCTCTTGCCTACCGCCTATCTCTGATTCTAATCACCCCTCATTGCTACAGGGCAATAGACGGCTAGTATATCGTGCAGTCAGCGAAGCTCTGTTGGCTCGGTTCATCGTCTTCAAGATGTTCCTAGAAGTCTGTTCCAAGCAAGGATTTTGCCTTGAACAGCGACAGCGTTGGTTGGAGTTACAGATTTTTCCAACGAATATTACACCCTCATACGATTCATTCAGTATGATTAAATCTGAAATTCAAAGGGCTTATCTAAGTGACGAGGAACTAGACGAAGCCATGCTGCACTTGATGGAAGAAATCCAGAGCATATGGGAAATGCCTGGTGGCGATTTCTTCTATATCGCAGTGGATGAAGTAAATGTAGCGTCAAGAATGCACGAGGAAGCGTTCGAAGATCAGCGCGGTCGTTATCCTATTTTGAAAGAGATCTTACGCAGCCTGCGACGACGGATGGGTCAGTTGCCTGTTAAATTTGTTGTTTCGGGCACCATCATCCCAGAAGACCATTTTCAGTCAACCATCGGCGAGTGGGATGATTTTCGCTGGTGCTCAGAAACCGGGTCTTTTAATGATCCAGACGAACACCGTCGTTATATCACCAAGTTTCTGCCACCCAAGTTCGCTATTTCAGTACCTGGGCAGGCACTGTTGGACCGTATGTGGCAATGGTTGCGTGGACGGTTTGTTCAGGTCTACTGCTGCTATATCCAAAAGTTATTGACTGCATTTTCTATGGTTAGTCACCGTTACACAGCGTCCTTTCTTACTGTCTTACTCTACAACAATTTCCACAGCCCTCATACGTTGCTGGGTAACTATATTGAAAACATCACTGAATATTTTCCTTATGATAACGAAAATTATACTCGGAAGGAGAGGGTCGTTACAATGATTGGTATCTGCCACTCGGTCATAGGGGACTTGGTCTGTGTATGTTGGAAACATTGAGGTACCATTACTACCTGCGACGCTAAATTTATTTGAATTTTAGGGTCACTTAACACAGTCACGGTAGAAATGCACCGCGCAGCTACTTCGTTTTTGAGCACTTCAACGGGTTGCATTGACTGCTTAACAGAGGACAGAGTTCTGATCACTGAAGATTACGGATATTTCATTGATGCCGACTGCGTCCAGATTGCACTCAATGAGCCTATGACGGTGACTTCCGGCGCTATTTGGCTCAAGAAAAACTTTTATTTCGGTTTTGCAAAGTTTATCAGGATTTTTTGCAAGATTTCTGAAGTCGTCGTCCATCCGACTCATTTTGCACATTTTCTGGCCTTTTGGCTCACCTCGATCTCGGGCCCTTCATGCGAAATTCCAGATACGTACAGAAGCTTTCGATCACCCACAGTAATACCGAGCCACTGCAAAATCTCAGATGCGTTCAGAATCATCGGATTACCTGCAGCCCTCCCCGAAGTGAAACTTGTCACTTTCACAAAGATAGCACAACGATTTGAAGCAGTAGACGTCCATTTGAGGGAAGACATCTATGGCAAGCTGGTTTTTATGGCTAATAGCAACGAAGATATACTGTCGTGGTTCAAACACGAGCGGAACGAACCATTCTGTGCCATGTTGTCTTCCTCGAGCAACACTGTGATCCTAGTATTTTGCCTACAACGTGCCGATGAACAATCGTTCTGGGTGTTTGTACGGATTTCATCAAAGTCCACAAATGAAGAGGATATAGATTTTGGGCAGGAGATTGACGACCTCCACCCTACCAAGGTCTTTCATGACCAGGTACGTACCAACGTGTTGCAATTTCGAGCTCTCCGAAAATGAAAATGATTAATTGACTTCCAGCCTGACATACTTCCGCTTCTCAGCAACTTACCGAATCTCTGTCTCGAAGTCGGAGCTTTTGGTGTCCTCCGGATTTCGGGATCCTCCTGGGCTGAGAACGCGAACGAAGATAATATTCCCCCTGAACGACGTCCGGCTGGGGTTTTGAACATTGACGGCTTGGACGAGGCTGAAAAAGGGGTTCCTTATGAGGAGTTTATGCTTCGTCTTTCGCAGGCCATCGTTCAAACAAAGAAGAAAGTGGAAACTGCGCTTCCGCCACCAATAGTCGAGGACTCAAAGAAGGGTAAAAAGCGCGGTAGATCCTCGACTGTACTTGAAGATAGCGCAACTACCCCCACTGTCGCTAGAACTCGCAAAACCAAAAGCGCGAGGTCCACTAGGGGAGATGTTTCAGATCGTAGGGCTGCCAACACTCAAAGAACCAAAAGCCTGAAGTCTACCAATGTGAATGTTACACCAGGATCTGACAGCAAACCTGGGCGTTCGAACGATCGTCAAGTTACTGGAAGAATTCTGCGATCTCGTCGCAGTCTAGGTAGAATCAGCGATGTTGCCCCAGGACGTATTTCGACTGGGGTGACTCGTCCTGATCGAGTTGTACCTTCAGCTTCAACGTCGTCTTCGACACCGTACAACTTGCGCAAGCGATGAATGGGTTATTTGCTGTCCTGATTATCTTTGTATTCATCATATTGGATGTATGTACGTATATACCGACAGCACCGTGAATTCCTTCTATCTATCTATCTACCTAATGTTAGAACTTTGATATCGCTAGCGCACTATGTACAAAAAATGCAAAACTGCGGTATTGGCTCCGTAGGCTTTCACCTGTACATTTAATCGCGCCTTTCATTTCAGGTCACTGTCGTTAAGGATTGGGTATGTCTATGTTATTATTATATTTATGTAGTAGGTTCGAACTCTGTTGCGCCATTGGATTCGTAGTTTTGTTTCAATAACATTGATTCTTTAGTAGCTAGCTCACGAGTGTTCTTGTGTGTGAATGCTGAGAGTCATATATTTTGATGAGTGAGGACTATTTCCCAGAGTCTCTTCGATATTGCCGTAATCATTGCCGCACTATCATTTACAGGGATTCCAACTATAGTGTGGTTCGATGGCGTAGTTGGTTATCGCATCTGTCTAACACCACCCCTGTAGCACACAGAAGGTCCCCGGTTCGAGCCCGGGTCGAATCATATTCTACATCTGTAGCATGTCTATATCTTTATTTTTGTCGGACTTTTATATGTGCAGGACTGGAGTATGTACTAGTAGTAGCCTTTTGGTTGTTGAAGGGCAACTATGGATATTTATCTACCTAAGTAATATATCCACCCACCCCCTTCTACCTTGTTTTACATACATACATACCATACCCAACCTTTTGTTTGAGAACCCTGTGATTCTTTTATTCCTTTTGCAATTCTATGCTTTGATTCCATGAATGTATACAGCCAATGAAATATGTATGTATTGGATGGGCAACACAGAGAAATGGCAGTTTGTAAGGCAAGAGTAACGAGATGCGACAAACTTGAGTCTTCGTACGGGCACGTGATGCGGTACCTTCTTCTCCTGCCAGTACTGCATCGACACGCGTCCGTCGAAGCTGCATAAGACTAGTACAATAGCTCTCCCTGTCTTCTTTTTCACATAAAACTACTTGCCTAACTCACTCATGGCTGAACGAATGGACTTTGACCCCGCTAAGATACCAGCTCCTGACTTTACAAGTGAAGCTTATGCCTTCATGCGAGCAGCCCTCGTCGCAGACGCGAACACTCCCGAAATAACCTCGAATGAGTTGGCAGCCCAATGCCTCAAAGACCAGTGGCAAGTGCATATTGAAGGACTCAAAGCACAATACTGGCCAGGTACAGCTACAAGAAGCAGAAACCCAGAGAGAACAGAGGAGCCAAGAAGCAGCAGAAGCTGAGAGACTCGCCGAAGCCGAGAGGCAGGAGAAAGAGAAGGAGCTAATGAAGGAGGCCGAAAAGAAACGCCTCCCCATATATGACTTCCAAAAAGGACTCGGTGTTGATTCTATCCCGCTACAACTACACCCCTACGCAAGAAAGATGATGATGGCACGCAAATACGTACCCTTGTGGTACTTCCTCCCTGACGCAGCGGTTGAGGCCAAGGAGCGGAGCAAGGAATCCCTGGACACCAACCACCTCCAATTCGCAGTGGAAGATGGCAACTCCCTCTCAGGCTCCACCGTCTCCTTAGTCGGGTCCCATTCAGTCCGCGCCTCACCGAATGCCATCCCCGACTCACAGCTATCCTGGCCACAAGTCATGCGTGCCAAAAGCGCTTTCCTCAATGCGATACGTCTGGGGACCTGGCCGGACCACTTCATCGCCATGTTTGCTGGATTCTACAGCAACATGGACATGCATCGTGAATTACAAGAGCAGGACGGGGACCAAGTAATGGCGCACTACCACGCAGAGATGCGGCTAGCATGGTACGACGCAATGGAAAGGAAAGCTCCCTTCGACCTCTCCATAATATCGGACAGAGTCCTCGGGGAAAGTCGTCAACAGATCGTTAAACAGAAACAGGAAAAGAGTCTCAAAGGTAAGCATCTTCCCCCCCAACGGAATGAATACACCACATCTGACGGTATCATTTCGCCTCCTCCACAACTAAACAACCCTTTCCTCACAACGACAACCCCCTATGCTGCTAATACCTCCCGGCGCATCATCCAATTCAATTGCTAATCAAACCCGCTGCTAACACCGGTCATGCTAATGCTAAATCCCGTCTCCGACACTCGCCGCGCTAATGCTAAAACATCACCCATCTAATTAAATCTATCACTAACATCGCAACAACGGAATGCGCCAGCAGACATTCAGACTGCAACAGCACAAATGGAAGCAAGGGTCGAAGCCAGGCTACAACAATTGTCTCAGGCAACCTCATACCCTTCCCAGAACACACGGCAGTCCTCCAATAGAACGCGCCAAGCCCCCTACCCTTCCACATCCCCTCGCAAAGCCAGCAGACAAGCCGAATACCATCAACCAGACCCCCCCAGCTTCCAACGTTCCTTTCGGGACTCGAACCAACCGCAGCTCTCGTGATGTCACCGATGTCTCGGACGGGACAAACATGACATACGCCGCTGCTCACGAACATCAATCTGGAATGGGAAACGCGCCGTCACCTGCAACTGGAACAAACACGGTTATCTTGAGATCGCTAAAGGAGCCAATGCGGGTCTGGAACTCTGCGCAGACTGGCAAAGACCGAACGGATGCATCAGTCGCGCCCACCCCAAAAAGCATCTTTGCTCAGGATGCTCCAACAGCGGACACGGAGCTAGCAGCTGCCCTGACAGAGAATAAGTTCGCCATACGCACCCCTCTAAGAGCCAAAGAATGGAAACTTGCTATCACTAGTCTCAACCTCATACACAAATACCCTACCCTTGCTGAATCCATACAACACGGCTTCATCGTCGGAATCCCCAGAATAAAACATACATTCTCACCACCTAATAAACTTAATAGTCCCAAATCAATAGCTGCCTTTCATGAAGTAATGAGAAACGAGATCAACACTGAGCGATGGCTCGGCCCATATTCCAAGGAAACCATCGAAAAGACTCTCGGACCATTCCAAACATCACCAATCTCAATGATTCCAAAATCCGGAAAACCCGGCAAGTTCAGATTACTCAAAAATCTCTCGTACCCATATCGACCTACATTCATCTCGTCAATTCCGGCTGTCATCTCCTCCATCAACTCCCACATCGACTCCACCCTTTACCCTTGCCTATGGGGTACCTTCGCCACCACCTGTCGGCTAATTTGGACTCTGCCCCCCGATTCACAGGGAGCAGTAAGGGACATCTCGGAAGCGTACCAATTGATTCCCTTACACCCTTCGCAATGGGTGGGAGTCGTCGTCAGAACATCGCAAGATGAATACTGCATAGACACCTGGGACATGTTTGGTCTCAAGTCAGCAGGAGGATCCTTCGGCCACTTAGCAGATTGTGGCATGGACATCTGCAGAGGCCACGGCTTAGGTCCCCTCACCAAATGGGTCGACGACCATCTCTGGCTCAGAGTTCTAACCCAATACATAAACCAATACAACACACTACGAGAACAACTACGGGAATGCACAGCCAGGACAGGAGTCATCCACCGCAGAGGACGTCTTCTGTATCAAGGCCACACCCTGCCAAACGGAGAACTTGAGGAATTCGACGACGACTTCACCTTCCCTATCCAAGACCTTTCTCACCTATCCCCTCGCTCCCAAGAAGACTCAAAATATTCATACTCTTTCCACGACATTGACCGAATCACACTCACGCTGGGCTACACCTGGGCCGCCGACAAAGACATCCCCTTTTGCTATGACCCAACCTACTTCGGATTCCAATGGAACCTCAAAGAGAGAACAGTGTCCGTTCCCGCAACCAAACGCCTCAAATACATAACTGCAATAAAAGAGTGGGAAGAACGGATATCGCACGACATGGAACACGTAAGGAAACTATATGGCAAACTCCTGCACGTCAGTCTTGTCCTCCCCATCGGTAGAACCTACTTAGTCGAACTCGAGAAATTCACCGCGGAACTCGGCCATGAGGCGCCGCTGACAAAGCACCGTGCACCACGCAGATGGCCAGCAGATCTCCTTTGGTGGAAATCAATCTTGTCCTTCCCCATCTCTGCGCCCATCCCTGGACCTGCCAACCTCATAGATCTACATGCATACTCTGATGCCAGCAGCGGCTTTGGCATTGGCCTATACATCCGCGGCTACTGGCGAGCCTATTGTCTCCTCCCAGGATGGAGAGGAAGTGACCGAGAACGAGACATCGGGTGGGCCGAAGCGGTCGGTTTTTACCTCCTCACCATCATCGTCGCTGGGGAAGCAACTGCAGGAAGACATTACAAGATATGGGGAGACAACGAAGGAGTGGTCGAAGGGTGGTGGAATGGAAGGAGCAGAAATAGAGCCACAAATCATATATTCCGACACATTCATGAAATCACTTCACGCGGCCAGTTTGAAATCCACACCCGATATGTCGCCAGCGCTCACAACCCAGCTGATCCGTTCTCGCGAGGCACCCGTGGCAAAACAGACTACCTTCTCCCCAAAATTGCTATCCCACACCACCTCTCAAGCTTCATCATTGACTACGACAAACCTTACACCGCAATTGAACACCGCGAGTACGGCCCTCTTGAACGCATTGCTTACGAATCTAAACCAAGGCGACCCTCCGCACGGCCATCCTATGACCAGTGGCACTCCGAAGAAGAAGGACGCCTACTCGCCGCCTTTGAGGACTCTTGGTAGCAGGCCGGCTACCTCAAACTATCCTACTGCTATCTCTCCTCCTGTGAATACTGTAGCTATGCATACTGTTCGTCCGTACCCAATAAATCTAACTCCTATAATATCTGCCCTACGCCCGCACTGTGCTGCCCGTGAACGTCTAATCCGGTGGAGACCCGCCAATAAGCGCAACTTCCAAGACACAACAGGATTCCCGCTAGACCTTCCAGACGAATTCGTAGACCGGATTCAACACGTACTCACAAACGGTTTCGCAGAAAGCACCCTCGAAACTTATGCCTCAGGACTGCTCTCCTTCCACATATTCTGTGACTCACGCAACATCCCAGAAACCCAACGAGCCCCGTGTAGCAGTGACCTGCTCAACGCCTGGATTTCCACCATGGCAGGGCACTATGCGGGGACCTCAGTCAAGAACTATGTTCACGGCGTTCGTGCATGGCATATCATCCACGGCATCGATTGGAAAACGGACAAAGCCTCCTTTGACACCATGATCCATGGAGCGGAACGTCTCCAACCGGAACGATCACGCCGGAAGAAGAGGATGCCGTTCACCCCGGACTACATCGCCAAGCTACTGGAAGACTTCGACATCTCCGTCCCCTTCGACGCAGCATGCGGCGCATGCCTCACAACTAGCTTTTACTGCGCAGCAAGGGTGGGTGAACTCACCGTACCCAACCTGAAAGACTTCACTCCCGAGAAATATGTCACCGCAGCTCACGTTTGGAAAGCCACTGATCGGAACGGCTTCGAAACCACCGTCCTACACGTTCCACACACCAAGAGCAATCAGCTAGGAGGAGAAGACCTCTACTTCTCAAAGCAGCTAGGCTCCACAGACCCAGAATCG